ATAGTTGCTTCAATATGGAGGAGTCGAAGGAACTGCCTGAGGCCGAAGGCTATACAGAGTACTCGAAACATAGCAATCAACTCAAAAAAGCTTCTAATCAGCTTCACTGAAGCACAGATTTCCCCGTTTTGGCTCAATCGTTCTCAGAACGTCTAACAAGTTTTTTGGCTGAAACACTGTCCCAAACTCAAGCATATAAACTTCTTAGGAGATAAGGCATTGATAATCTTACCCCGTAGCTGGAACCGCACGATGACGTCGAGGGAGTTACGCATGGCTGAAAAGGAAGTTAGAGAACGTAGAAACAGTCACAAAATTGTAGTCAATGCAATGAATTTTCGATAAAATGGGTGTCCTCTTCAATCGTTCTGAGTATAAGGGGGAAGCAAAATGATTTGTTCTGTCAGTATTCGCTGCCTTTTCTTGTTGTTCCAAAATTATAATTTTGACTTGACCACCTAATCTATGAAGGGCTTTTTTACAGCTATGAAAGGCCTTTTTACCAGCTGTATTATTTGTCGAGCGGATGTCCTGATTGGTTTTCTCATTTTTTCAAGTACCCTTCATCATGATGTTCTCTCTGACCGATCTGGAGCTGGGCTGCTCTTAATATTGTTTTCGACCTCTACAACTGATTCTGGAACATCTGGCACGCTCAAAGGCTTATCTTACTTTTTCATCTAACTTTCATTTTATATAGTTTTCTGCCAATTTTGTTGAGGATTATACCTAGAATGATGAGTTGTGCCTCTCTTCTTCCTTTCTTCCTCCTCCCCCCCCTCCCCCCTCACGGATCGGATACTTGAGAGTACTACTCTTTCATGGTTTCAGAACCACTGAAACTGATATTTGAAATATTGGGAGACTCATCAGATGCCGTAGTATATTATAATTCTGTCAAGGTTAAGTGTTATATGAACGTTTACCCAAGGAAAAATCATGCGTCGGACACATCCATTCTAAATAAAATCGCGGTAGGAGTAGAAATCACGAATGTCCTAACAGATTCAGATCTAGTGATCAAGCCGGTCAAATGTCAGACATATCGTCTGTATCCTTATATTGATGAAGTTGGAACTGGCACGGCGATCGTCCACCCTTACGTTTCTTAATCTTTCTCTTTGTGCATTCATCCAAATCCTGCACAATGTTAAACGCTTGATGTTCTTTCACCAGCTACTCCACCATTGGAGATCAGCTAGAGAGTTCACGAAGAGGACATTTCATGAAACGTCCAGATTCGTGACGAACAAAAGCATCTGAGCTGTTCACTTATTAATTTTAGGATACTTTTTCATCGAGAAAATTGGTCTTCTTCACATTTTACTGGAACTTTGATTAAGAATTCGTTATATTTCTATCATCTTGCAAGATAATAAAACTCTCTAAAGGCGAGAAAATTTTCATGCCCAAAAACTTATTTTCTTGAAGTTTCTCTTTCTCATCATTCTTATCATTCTCTATCATTCTCGTAACTGAGGTGAGGTTCTGTGCGATTACTTCGCACATACAGGGTGATCCACATGAAGTGTGACGCAGAAAACTAGCATCAAAATATTTCATATCAAACCAAATAGGAAACATTTACCTATTCCTATACAATCATCACAAAATTGTGAACAATATATCACATTTCGCATGCAGAATGATCATATTCCGCTCTAATGCGACATCCAAACTCATTCAGAAGTTCAAGAATGCGCGCAATCGCTTTCATCCCCCGCTTCTACAAGAGAACCTTTTTCAGAGGGTCAAAGACCTGTGTTTGAAAGCGGAGGCTTTTTGCTCCAGAATCGCATATACAGCAATATCACAGGATTGGAATCCTGGAATTTGAAGGTCAAACGTGCTCCGCCCCAAAAACCTAGAAGCGTGNTTTCACAACAATGCAGCATCTTCTTTGCGCTGTGGGCTGGTGCCCTTTCCTGGGAATGGTTTAGCTGACGTTCATCGCGTTCCTTTCCGCCCAAGGGATCACCGCATCCTCAAGCCCATAAGTTGATTTTTTTATTGCAACACTTCATGTGGTCACCCTGTAGATATGAAGCAACGTGGATCGTACATAACCTTATCACAATCGTACACAAGTTTCCTCACCCCAGCTCAAACAACCAGATCGCTGGTAGGAGATGGTCGCTGGTAGCAGTGACGGATCTAGCGAAGTTTTAAGCTCACGATCAGCGATAAGAAATTGCAGAACCTTATGGAGCAGCGGCTCGTAATATTCTCTCGCTTCTCATAAGCTGAAGGGACCAATCAACGCTCTTCTCAGTATTCCACAGAGAGAGGTTTCTAATGCTTCGATTTTTTATAGTGACTATTTAGTGTACTTTCTACAGCGAGAATCCTAATATTACGGCGATGCTGAGTTATTGAAAAATATTTTAGACAGGACAAATCGTTCTCTAGAAATAGCTTGTAAGTTTAAAGTTGGATGTAGAAATTGGTCTGCATCACGATAACTTAATGAAAATCCAACCTGACTAGGGAAGAAATGTGCTGACACGGTTGGAATCAGAAGAAGCAACAGTGACTTCGAATAGGGACCGATATCGCCGAACATCTAAAAGGATTACTATTCATTCCATAAATTCATCAACTTATAGTAATGGTGAGGCATAGACTCGGTGAATTAATGCAGAAGATAAAACGCTCAGTCATTTTTCGGCACCCTTACCTATGAATATTTTGAAAAGCAGCAAAATACGAGAAGAGTAGATTCTCGAAGGAGGATTTGCGTATCGTCGAGAAATACGTAATCAGAGTGGTGTAGAAGAGTATTAACATAGAGTAATAGGCCATTATATCCCTAGGAACGTTCATGTGATTGCAGCAATAAAGAAATCAAGCGCTCCAGAGGGATCCTGTTTCTTTCAGATATCGAAGTTTTCGCAGACAATTGATCCCCCAGCATTCCGAAGAGATTTCGTTTTTTTGCTTGAAACATGCTTGCTTGACGGGAAAGCTAGGCTACCATGATGGCATGATCACCCAAGCTGATTCGATCAATTCCCTTTTCTTTGTTCCTTTACTCTTGGCCCACAAGGAAGGAGGCTTCGCTGTTCTGGCATGTTGGCGGTGCCGTCCCGAGCGACAAATTCTGACTACTTTCGAGTCAGGAATTAAAGCGTAATATCAGGACTGTGTTGGAATACATCTATTTGTAAGCCACCTGGCCAGCTATCGAGGTAAAGAATAATCTTAAAAGTAAAGTTTGACGATAACTGCTGAGAGAGAGTGGAAGGCGGTATTGAGAGCAGCTATTCTTTCCCATCACGCCCCTGATTACGATTGCGGTGACTACCCTTCAACCATAATGCCTGGGATTTTCCTACGACCACTCCTATTTGTCGGGAGCAAAATGTAATGTAATGAAATGTGACGAAGGTCCAAAGCCGGCTGATGATTGTGATTGCAGCAAAATATTATGTAACATCCATCGTAATGAGGGTGCTGTGCTGGGACATAGCTTTAGCCCATATAATCTTGTTTGAAGAATTAGGAATGTAACTGCTGTATCGTTGTTTTGAATGATGGAACTGAGACCAAAGAGTCCAAGGGATCAATCGAAAAGAGAGATCTTGGGTTTACTAGCGTGGAAGCGGTGACAAATTATGAAAGTCGAAAGGGGATCTTCGGATACCCGAGGAATCGGCCTTTCCCTTGAAACATGTATATGCCTTCGTCGAACTGAAAAGGCGGAGCCAGCAATGGCCTGGAACTAAGAGGCAGGAGAAAGGGGAGCAAGGTAGTGGGTTTTCCTCTACAGGGAAGAAAGCATCAAAAAATACTGAGAATTGAAACTACCTTGAGGAAATCGTGTCTTAGGATATGCCACATTTGATGTGAAAAGAATGCCAATTAGATGGTGACAGGTTGCGAAACGAAAAGCTGGTAAGCGTCTGAAGAAACGAGAACGTGGGTATGCTTGAATGCGCACTAATATGCGCGCACGAAATTCACGGTCATCTATAAGGGATAGCAGCTAAAACGAGATAGAGATACCTAAGCTTTTTAGCACTGGTAAATTAAGCATAGCAAAGTGCTATGAGCTTTGCTAATTTTCCTTATCTCATTGTACTGAAAACGGGATGGCATTCTTCTAGCATCTACGCTGAAAAGAAGTAAATTCATCAAATTTGACCTACTATGCATGTTGATGGGCGGAGGTGGAGTAGTGGTGATGACGCACTATCTGGTCAGTGACCGCATGGGAATGGGTTCGAATCCCGAATCGATACCCGCCTTGGCCCACCGACATTTTCATCCCTCATGGTCTGTTAATCGGTATCAAACTCGTCTAAAAGTATAAAAGCACTGACTTGTACATCCTGTGGCCACCGTAAGTCATTGTACAGGCCTCATATGTACTACGATCCACTACGATTCTGAATGGAAGGCGAATGAGAGGGCGCATCCCTCAAACAGGATCGATCAATGCCAGATGACTTCGTCGTTTATCCT